AGCCAGCCCATTTCTCTATTGGACAGTTTTATGTATTAGGAAAAATTTCTCCCATTTGTCCAGGCCTCTCATTGATATAGAGAACTCTAGCCTAGACTAATCTGCAATCGTTCTGTTGCAACTGTTAGATTTCTGTGTGAGGTTAAGTGAATTGTCCAGGCTCTCATGTATGAAAGGCAAGACTTGCTTGAACTTTATTCTTCCTGATTCTGAGGCCTGAATCTACAACTTACTACTAGTGCTAGCTCTCAGTTCTTCGTTTTGTAGAGTCAAAATATGCTGCTTTTTTGCTTCCAGCCACTTCATTGGTCTTACCCCTGGCCTCTCAGATAAAGCAAAGTGAATCTAATCCCTTTTTCACATGACAAGCCATCAAATATTTAAAGATTAGCAAGACTCCGCCTCAAAGACCTCCCCCATCCAGATCCAGATCCTCTTCCAGTTTCTTCAGTCTTAGGACAGTAGCTCCTAATTCATTTCAGTTTAATAGTTCTTTGAGCCCTAACCAGAAGATCAGGATCTACTGGTAAAACCTGAGACCTAACTTGGTTGATCTCTAAAAAATTTGTTATTGTCCCACCCCCTTTCTTGATGTTTGCCAGGATTCCTAGCAAGCTGGAAAAGGGCCTGATCTCAGGCTTCTCAGAGAGCTTTAGCTAACAGTATTCTTTCTGCAGTTCCCAGTAATCCTTTATGTTCTTTATTTACTCCAATGACCATGTATGGGTTGGCCAGTGAATAGTGTCTTGCCATTTTTATGACTGTCCTACATTAAAGATTCTCTTTATCATACATTTTCATGTTTCAGTACATTGTACTGAGAAGTTCTACGTATCTGAATTTTCTAGAAAACTGAATATAGTCTTGTAAAGTGACCAGGATATTTTATTTGAACTGTTTTTTCTTAAAAACTTCCAAAATGTATCATATGCTTCCCTGCCTTTTAAAATTATGAACTAAAATTATGAATCAAGAAATATGAACATTTCCATATAAAGGAATGAAAGAAGAGTATAAATGAAACTGTGAATGAATCTCTATTAGAGACAGTTTGATTTTTTAAAAATGTTTAAAAATAACATATTAGTACCAACATTGTTCTACATGACTGTGTCCCCTTCTCAACTCCCTTCTTCTCTCTTCTATGTGTTTTTAAGTGTTTTATTAGCTATTGTTTCTTTTTTTATATTACCATCATTTCCTCATTTTCTCCTACACAACTCTCCCCTAAAAAATAAAAGCCCTCAGTTGCAACAAATAAGCACAGTCGAGGAAAACATATCCATATATCGACCATGTCTGAAAATGTCTCTTTTTATACCTCTAGTCCATCATATCTCTGCCAAGATGTAGGAAGTGTGCTGTTTGTGCAGTCATTTTTCAGTTGTGCCTGACTCTTCATGACCCCATTTGGGTTTGTTTGTTTGTTTGTTTATTTGTTTGTTTTTTAATTTGTGAGGCAGTTGGGGTTAAGTGACTTGCCCAAGGTCACACAGCTAGTTCGAGGCAGGTGTTTGGTCTGAGGCCTGATTTGAACTCGGGTAGTCCTGACTTTAGGACCGGTACTCTATCCACTGTACCACCTACCTGCCCCAAAATGTGAATTTCTTGATTGTGTGCAGGCAGAAGATGAGTATATCTATAATTTTCAAGTTCAGTCTTTAAAAATCTAAGTCTGAGAAACTAGTGAAAAGAACAAATAAAGAATCTCTAAAATTGCTCCCAAATTATTATCAGTTATCAATGCATCTTATTAGGTATACCTAAGAACTAGGCTTGATGCAGTTAGATATGATTACAATGCGCTCTATTCACTTTGCTACCTAGCTGCCCAGTTTTGGGTCTAAAGTTTCTAAACTGAGAGTTAAAAGGTTCTGATTGAGGACCTGATTGTTTGAAGTTTCAACAGAATAAGTATTAATTGTACTTCCCTGTTTCATTTATCTCTGTATAGTCAGTTTGAAGGAGAAAGTAGCTTTACATATTACAGATACTTTTTTGTAAGTCTGTTGTCTGATTTTCTGATTGCTTTCATAAGCCGTAAGTTTTAAAGGAACTGATTTATATTATCATATATAAATCAATATGTGTATATTTTTAAAATCACTGATAAGGTGTTATGTGAAATTAAAGATAAATTAAGTCAGCTTTTCAGACACCGAAAATTGGGTGTTTGTAGCTATAAATTGTATCAGTAATTAAACCCTGAAAGTGGAGGCTATCCTTCTCTGAACTTTTTATTTTGTTTTGTGAATCCACTTCCTTGTTGAGCTTTGTGACATTTACATGATCTATAGAATTTTGGTGTAATATAGCAGTTTATTGAAAATAAGTTTATCCTTAAGCATAGTGGCTTAGGTTATGACATAAGGTAAAACGTAAGCTTCAGTACTACCATCAGTGGCTACTTTTCCCCAAGTCAACCACTCAGACAAATCAGGAATAACTTAATAACCAGTTGGATGTTTTCAAAGGTGTTGCTTATTTTTTTTTTACTCTGGCTTAATACCCATGGGATTATAGTAGTGCCAGAAAAACCAGGTGTAGATATTTTCCATTAATTTTAAGTACAGTAAGTAAGATTTGCCTTAAGAGCTAAGAAAAAACAATTTTTAAACACTGTTGTTCAAGAAAATATTGAGAAAAATGTCATGTAATTCCACTTAGTTTATTCCATATGACAGAGAAATTTCATTTATTGGACTGGACATTTGTGGAATATGTAAGTATTAGGAGATGGTTAAACCACTGATGGTCTTATGTTCATGAACTGGTATATCTGGAATGGGTTTCAGAAGGCCTTGGTTCTAGTCCCTTCTAGCTAAGGTCATGAGGCTTAAAAGAAGGGAAGTGATGGCCCAAGGTCACAGTAAATAACTGAGCCAGGATTTCACCTTAGGTTTTCTAAATATACATTCAATACTATTTCCACCAAATTGTGATGCTCTTGAGTTGGGTCTTGTGAAATTCTCTGCTATAATCTTTAAAAATAGAAGTTGAAACTAAATGGTCTTTCCGAAATTCCAGCACCTAGCACAATGTCCTGCATATCATGTAGGTACTTATATCAGTCTTAAACAAAAATGGCTGTGAAACTTGTTTACTTGCTCCTAAATTTCATTCCCCATTCCTCAAATTTAAATGTGCATTCCCTGCTGATGATTCTTCTTTCTCTGTCACCCTGTCATTGAGAGAATGAAATAGAACTATATACTTTCAAGACAAATACTTACCTCTGCCCCTTAGCTTTGACAGTGCCCCTCCTGGGAAAGAGAAGGACCTAAGGAAGGTATAGGTACTTGGATTTGGATAGTAAGGAAATCTTTCTCTTTTCACCTCAGTTTCCAGATGCTTTCTGAAGCATATAGCTCAATCCCTGGTTGACAGAGTTAGGGAACTTGGAATACCCAGCTGACACACCTTTAGCTGTTTGAAAGTTCATTGAGCTGGCAGTGAAAGATCTATACATAGGCTAAAGAAGAGTGATAGAAACCTCAAATCTTAATTATATAAGGCATGTGAGACTGCCATTGTGATTATGTTTTATAACTTTTCATTTATGGTTTGGGGCTAACAGTAAGGGTTCCTTTAGATTTGTTAGAATTACAACAGACTGCTCAGGAAAAAAAAGTGAACCACCAACTCTCTGTCTTTACTGTTATACTCAAATGGGAAGCAGTGGAGGGCAAAACCAGTTTAAAGAAAACTTAGTGAGACATTCAAGTAAACATTCATTTCATGAGCATTTAAGGTTGAAAATAGAAGTAAAACAGGAGAAAGAAAAATGGAAAATATCTACAAGATTTTTTTTTAATATAAGAAACCTTTTAATATCAAGGACAGTAGGGGAAACACATTTAGACACTAACAATGTCTAAATGTCCATGGGCATTCAAACTCAGTAAGTCCAAAACAGAACTCTTTGCCCTGAAATCCACTTCATTGAGTTTACCTATTTTTGTCAAGGGCACCACCATTCTTGAAGTCATCCAGGTTTGAAACCTCAAAGAAGTCCTTTACTCCTCATTCTCCCCCTCATCCCACAAATCTAATTAGTTGCCAAGTCTTGTCCAGTCTGCCTCCATAATGTTTCTTGCATTTACCATTTTCCTGACACTCACACAGCCACCACTCTGGTTCAGGTGCTCATTGCCTCTCACCTGAACTACAGTATCATCAGCGCCTACCATGATGCCAGGGAGATAGCAGTTGCTTAATAAATGCTTATTGATTGATTGTTTATCAAGGACGAAAACTGATTCATGTTTTAAAAAAAAATGAAAGCTGCAAATTGGAAGTGCTTTACAAAGGGACCCTATACCAGTCAAACATTTTTTAAAATGATAGTAATTTTGGTTAGTATCACCATAGAGAAAAAGCTAGGCACTCAGAGTTTTGGCTCTTTAACTCTTTCCTAATAATATATTTATATTTGTCTTAAAATATAATCAACTTGTTTGATAATAAGATCATTACACTGAGGTTTGTAAGACATCATTTTAAAGTTCTAAGTGGGTCTGCTCTTATCACACAGATTAATGCCATGTGTAGTCTGATTTAGCAAGACCAGGAAGGCTATCTTCAAAATTTTGCTTAGGAGCAGCCCTTGCTTCTAGCACTATATTTGGTGGTAACTTATTATTAAAGGGTGAGCAAAACTGATAAGGCATTATCTGTAATATCACTTTTAACATTTTTACATTTATCACTTTTTTAAAAATTTAATTTTTTTCCCCTTCAGGAATGAAATAATTGCTGACAAAATTTTTTAGTTTCTTTATACAATAAACTGATTAAGGATTTTCTTGAATGAAGTCATCCTTTATGTATTATCAACTTAATCATTTCTAGGGAGGAAAGAAGTATCATGATTATGTATATTGTTGCATGTGATAGGAACATTGGAGGAATGGAGGAAATGGTGGATAAATTAGGTAACTGAATAGATTGTAAGACAGCTTTTGCATGTACTAAATCTATCACTGTAAAATGCATTTCAGGATGACGTGAGACATAAGGTTCATCTCAATACCTTTGGATTCTTCAAAGATGGGTCCATGGTGGTCAATGTCAGTAGCCTCTCAGTTAAGGGAAATGAAGATGCCACTGCAACGGTAGGTGTATTTTGCTCTGGTTTTAAGAGGTTTGCTTTTCCCTCCCTGATTAAATTACACTGCTGAAGAACATGGAAGAAATTAAGGTTGATGAAAAGAATATTGCCTTATCAGATACTGAAAGAGTTTATCATTAAAATCAATATTTGCTTATTAATTCTTGTGTAGTTCTAAAACTCATGATTTTACATGCATGAGGATCTTCTTTCTTACAAAATGAATACTAAGAAAATCCTATATGTGAAGTCATAGAGAAGAAAGGGTGTGGACACCAGAACATTTTATGGTCTTTTACCTCTTATTATCTGTGTTTCCTTTCTTCTAGATTGGTTTTAGCTTGGACCGAACAAAGAATGATGGATTCTCCTCTTACTTGGTAAATGCAAAATTCATCTGGTCTTATGTAGTTTTTCAACATTATTGTAATGGTAATGGACAAGAGCTATTTATTAATTCATGTTATCGAGAGTAGTTGATTGCTTTTACTTGATGATATACTTGAACACCGTTGTGATGATATTCAGTCTTTGAATCTGAGATTGTGCTGATTTTTGTATCTTGGAAACCTTTTTCCTTTTCTTTTTTTTAAAAAACTGTTTTCCGATACTAAGATTATGTGTATTTGGATATTCCCTTCTCAGGATGAAGATATGGATTACTGTATCTTTAAGAAAATGCAGTCTGTTTCTGTTACACTCCTGATTCTAGACTTCCCAAGTCATCTGTAAGTCATTCTCATGAAAATTCCTTCAGTTTTCTTCTGATAATAGAGCTGAGAGGCTCATCATGGTAACAAAATGTGTGCTGATTTTCACAAATTAAATGAACAAGTGGATGTTTCTTCATCCATGTTGAATCTAAGATAGGACTCCAACTAGTCACAGTTAAAGGTATGGAAAAGTTAAAGGTATTCTCACCAAGAATGTGAGACAAAAAGTCATCGTGCAAGAGTTTTGCCATCAGCATTCTACCTTCTCTCAAGGCTTCAAAATTTTAAAAATGGCTCCTTTCTAAAAAAAAAAAAATTTGAAAGTACCTGCTGCTTATAACAATTTATAATATTATTCAAGTTTGTATTGGTTTCTATAGTAGCCTTTCAAGCCCTCTGAGTAGTTTTTAGTTATCATTAAGAGCTTTACCCCTTGATCTTTTTTCCTGGTCTGGTATAATTAGAATGAGTTCCTGGAGGGCAGAACTTATAACTTAGTTGTTTTTATTTTTAATCCCTAGTGTCTAGTGCAATGCCCTGCATATAGTACCTAATATTTTTGTTGAATTTGATGTATCGTTTGTCAGTCAACAAGTATTTGTTAAGTACCTACTATGTGCCAGCCACTGTGCATGGTACTGGGGATACAAGTACAAAGAATGACACAATCCCTACTCCAAATGAGCTTACATACTAATGGAGAAAACAATAAATGCAAATAAAATATATACAGCAAAATATAAAGCATAATATATATGTAAATGTGTGTTTGGGTATGTGTGTTTATATACCCAAAAAGTAGTTAAATACAAGATACTATAGGAGGGAGATCCCCCAGAGGGATCAGGAAAGACTTCATGGAGAAGATAGTGTTTGAGCTGCATTTTGAAGGAAGATAGAGGCTCTTTAGTCAGAGATAAGGAGAGAGTACAGTCCAAGAAGGGAGGATAGCAAGTTCAAAGACATGGAGACAGGAGAGGGATCATCATAAATGAGGAACAGAGAGAAAGCCAGTCTGACTAGACTGAAGCTTGCAAGTAGGAGAGTAATGTCCAGTGAGTCAGAAAAGATCAGTGGGGGCAAGTTATGAAGGGCTTTAAAAACTAAACAGAGGACTTTCTATTTGATCCTAGAGGCAGTGGGGAGCCACTGATTGAGTAGGGGAGTCACATGATTAGATCTGTGCTGAAGGAAAATTACTTTAGAGACAATATGTAGGATGAACTGGAGTGGTGAGAGATTCAAGGTAAAGAAACTAATTAGGAGGCTGTTGCAGTAATCTAGGTGGGACTTAATGAGGACCTAAATGAGGAGATTTCCATGTGGGTAGAGAGAAGGGAACCAATGTAAAAGACTTGTAAAGGTAGAAATGACAAGATTTGGGGGCAGCTAGGTGGTGCAGTAGATAGAACACCGGCCCTGAAGTCAGGAGGACCTGAGTTCAAATCTGGCCTCAGACCAAACACTTGACACTTAATAGCTGTGTGACCCTGGGCAAGTCACTTAATCCCAATTGCCTTAAAAAAAAAAAAAGACAAGATTTGGTAACTCTTTGGATAGTGAAGGAGAGTAAGGCATCAAGAATAACACCTCACTTTTGAATCTGAGATACTGAAAGGATGGTAGTGTCTTCAATAGAAATAGGGAAGTTTGGAAAAAGGGAGAATTTAGGGGGAAAGATAATGAGTTCAGTTTTAGGCATGTTGAGTTTAAGATGTCTCAAGGACATCTTGTTTGAAATGTCTACTTGGTAATTAGTGATGCAGATCAGGGCTAGGTATAAAGGTATGAGTCATCTCTGTAAAGAGATATTAAAGCTGTGGGAGCAGATTACTAAGAAAGAGTTTAATGATGTAAGGAAGTGGACCCAGGACAGAACTTTAGGAGTCACCTACAGTTAGGGGGAGTGATGTAGATGATGAGGTAGCAAAGGAGACCAAGAAGGAGCAATCCAGATGGGTAAGAGGTAAACCAGGAAAAATTAGTGTCATAAAAACCTGGAGAATAGAAAGCCTAGGAGAAGACAGTGTGGTTACCACTGTAAAATGCAGTAGATAAATCAAGAAAGAGTAAGACTGAGATTTAGCAACTAAGAAATCATGTGAACTTTGGAGAGAGCGTTTCAATGGAATGATGAGGTCTGGAGTCAGATTGAAAGAGGTTGAGGATTGAGTGAGAGGAAATGGCAGCATTGACTGTAAACAGCTTTTTCAAGGAGTTTGGTTGAGAAAGGGAGGAAAGATAGAGAATGATGTCTTGAGGAGATTATGGGATGTAGTGAAGGTTTTTAAGAATTGGGGGGACTTGGGTATGTTTGAAGGCACCAAGGAAGGAACCAGTTAATAGGGAGAAGTTGAAGATTCTAAAGAGAGGAGAGATAATTGAAGACGCAGTCTGCCAGAGGAGATGGAAGGGGAGGGGATAAAATATACATGTAGAAGGCTGGGCTTTGGCAAGGAAAAGGTCCACCTCTTTGTCAAGGACTGGTAAAAAGAAGAAAGGGAAATGATGTGAGGGAGGTTTAATAGGAAGAGAAGAGCAGGGAGCTCATTTAGAATAGTCTGATTTTCTTTTTTTTCTCCTTCTTCTTTTTATGGCAATTTTTATTTATTTTTTTGTTTTCAACATTTACTTCCACAAGATTTTGAGTTCCAAATTTTCACTCCATCTCACCCCTCCCCCTGCCCTAAGATGGTATGCATTCTGAATACCCCTTCCCCGTAGTCTGCCTTCCCTTCTATCTCTCCCCACTTCTCTTATCCCCTTCCCCTTCAGTTTTCCTGTAGGGCAGGATGGATTTCTCTACCCCATTTCCTGTATTTCTTATTTCCCAGGTGCATGTGAAAACATTTTTTTAAAACATGTGTTTTTAAAACTTTGGGTTCCAAATTTTCTCCCTTCCTCTCTCCCCGCCCACCCTCATTGATAAGGCAAGCAACTAAATATAGGTTATATATGTGCAGTTATGCAGAACACTTCCATAGTAGACATGCTGTGAAAAACTAACTCTATTTCCCTTAATCCTATCCAGCCTCCCCCCCCATTTATTCTATTCTTTCTTTTGACCCGTCCCTCCTCAGAAGTATTTGCTTCTGATTACTCCCTTTCCCAATCTGCTCTCCTCTCTATCATTCCCCTACTGTCTTGTCCCCTTCCCCCCCATTTTCCTGTAGGGTAAGACAGATTTCCACGCCGAATTGAGTGTGTATGTTATTCCCTCCTTAAGTCAAATCCTATGAGAATAAGATTAACTCATTCCCTCTTACTTTCCCCTGTTTCCCCTCCACTGTAAGAGCCTTTTCTTTTCTGGTTTTTTTTTTGGTGGGATAATTTACCCCGTTCTACCTCTCCCTTTCTCCTTCTCCTAGTATATTCCTCTCTCACCCCTTAATTTTATAGAATAGTCTAATTTTCATCAAACTAAGAAGCAGCGTTCTCAGATGTCCAACATGGGAAGGAGAATGGGGAGCTTCAGGAGGAAAGAGCAGGTTTGGAATAACTTCTGTGGAGAGTGAGATAGGGAATCATTTATAGAGGAATAAAGGAACTTCCTTGTTGCAATTAGGACTTAGTTGAAGTTTGGTACAGACCAAATTCATCTTTACCAATCTCAGCTAGGCCCATAACTGCTAGGAATGCATTGTCATCAAGGGAGCCAAGTCTCTGTGTTAGCTAATAGATGGAAAGAATGTGAAAGAGGAAGGGGTCCAGGTTAAAGAGGAGTTTGTTTGCAGTGGAATAGGAATTCCAAAGGGCACAGCGGAACGGAGTGGGCTTGGTTGGATTAGGACATGTTTGGGGTCAAGTTATGGAGAATGGAAATGAAAGAAACATGAAGGAGCAGGGAACAAATTTCTCCTAAATGGGTGCTGATTAATTTTTACAGGGATAGGGAGGGAAACAGGAGAAATCATATCATGCCAAGAGGTAGAGTTGAAGTGACAAATTTCAGTTAACTTTCAACATAACACATTTATGGGGAGAAATTATATGCCTGAAAATAGTGCATTTTAGGATTGAAGTTACAAGCTTTGGGGGTTTTGTTGGTATTATTTTTTTAAACTAGTGTCACAATAAAGTCTCCACCAGAAGCTGGCAGCAACTTACCAAAAATCGTCTTCAGCAAGAATGAGAAAATCCTTGGTGAAAATCTGGAACCAAGCCTTAAAAGTCCCTCAGTAAATAATCAGACTCTTGAAAAGCAAGGTAATCCTTCTATTCAGCTTCCAATGTTTTGAATATTTTGTTTAAAAGTATTTTTAAAATGAGTACAGCTTTCCATTCACACCATATGTTCATATATCATTCCCTGTGTGTGATGTCTTTTCTTCCTCTCTTCCTTCTAAGATTATAATGGCCTTCTTTCTCCTTGAAGTTCTTTCTCCTTGAAGTCCTAATTTTAAGCATGTAGAAACTTGATTCTTACTGAGGGGTAGGGGATGGATTATATAAGTTGTTGTTGATTTGCATATATAACTACCTTGTCTTTTTGCTTATTATTTCTGTTCATCGTATCAGTACATCTATACTGAATATATAATTACTCCGCAAAGGCTTTTAATACGTCTAATATTAAGGATAGTGCCATATACCCAAGTACGCTAAGTACATATTAGTTGTGGATGATAATGATGATGACTTTAACTTGTTACTAACCCTTTTATGAAATAATTTCCATAATTTCCCAAGCCCAGATCTGCCATTACTATGGCTTAAGAATTATTGGTGCAGGCCCTGAGGAGATAGAAGTCACAAAACATGTGATGGCCTTAGCATGTTTTTAATTACTTAACAATAGACAAGGAGATGTCTCATAGAATAATATGATACATCCAAACTGAATCTTGTATTGTAATTGTATTGTAAATGCTTCTGCTTCTAGGTGAAAAGTCTGCACAAAGTACAGAGGATTCAAAGGTAGGATAATTAGTTAATAAGTATATTTTTGGGAACAAATCTAATCATATAGCATAGAATTTTAGAACTAAAAAGTTCTTCAAAGGTCATTTAATACAATTCCTTCATTTTGCAGTTGAGGGAACTCATCCAGATTGGGGAAGTGACTTATTTTGGGTCACATGGATGATGAGTAGAGAAGCAGTTTAGAGTAGTGGTTAGACTGCTGGACTTGGAGTCAAGAAGACCTGAGTTCTAATCCTGCCTCAGATACTTAATAGCTTGGTGACCCTAGGCAATACCTTATTCAGCCTTAGTTTTCTCATCTGTAAATTAGGGATGATAATAGCACCTGTTTCACAGAGGATCAAATTGTTGTGAGGATCAAATGAGATAATGTATGTAAAATTCTTAGTAAATCTTAAAGTACTAAATACATTTTAGTTATTATTTTATTGTTATTTATTATAATAATAATAATATTTGTAGAGTTTGGGACCTAGAACCCAGGTCTCCTAACTCTTGGGATAATGCTTTTTAGGACAACTTTTAATGATCATTACTTCAGATTCTCTGAAGATCCTTGTTAGTCTATATACTGTGCTTTTACATATATATAATTGATCCTCAGAAAGTGTTGAACACCTATTATATGTGCTCAATAAGATGGGAGATGGAGAAGACAATGACCTCTTTATACTAAAGAAGTTCACATTCTGCTAAGTCTGCTGGACGAGGCACCAGACTATTTAGGAATATTTTTCAGGAAATCAAATATGAATTTTGCCATATGCTCCCACTTGCTGTTCCACACACTGTGATGCTTCTGCTCTATCTGTGCCTTGCATGCTGCTGCACCCCATGCATGGAATGCTCTCCTTCTTTATCTGCCACTTTTCAGAAGACTTAACCCAAAGACCACCTAGAGGCCTGTCCTACCTGCCAGCTGTGCCCCTCCAGCCTCTAAAGCCTTCCCCTTGAAAGTTCTCTTCCATCCACTTCACATGTATTTTGTACTTAGGGGATAGATACTGGACCTGTTATTTCATTGGTCTGGGGATCTCTCCGGATGAGGGATTATTGCCTAGCACATTGAGAGGATGAGATACTTGTCCGGTGTCACATAGCCAGTATGTTTTAGAGACAGAACTGGGACCCAGGTCTGCCTGGTCCTGAGACCAGCTCTCTGTCCCCAGCACTGCACTACCTCTCTTGTTTGTACCTCTTTTTTACCTCCTTGGGAGCAAGGACTGTTTTTACATTGCTTTGCCTAAACCTCTGGGCTTAGTTCAGTGTCTGGCACAATAATAATTAATAAATGCTGAATGATTGAATTCTCTGTTGGGGAGCTTTATGGAAAGGATAGTCAAACAATTATAGAGGGTTTTTGAGGGCTTGGAAAAATGAGATAAAAAGGAAAGCAACTGTTTTTATTTAACATCATATTTAATTTACTGCTACCATCCTGAAGTGACTTATTATGTCATTTAGATATCAGGAGAGAACTCTTATCCTGTTCATATTAAAGAAGGGGCCGTTTCGTTTCAGGTAAGTGTTCTCTTTCTATTTTGTAAAGGTTTTGTCGAGTTAGCTATAGAATCTCATGGATGGTTTTTAAATTTTTTAAATTTTATTAATGTTTTTTATGGTTATATCACATTTATTTCTGAGTATATCCTTCTCTTCCACCCAGTGAATCATCCCCTATAACAAAATTTGTGGGGTTTTGTTGTTGTTGTTGTTTGTTTCTTTTAAAGGGCTGGGGAAAGCAATTCAGCACAAACAAGTGAGTGGGTAATTTTTTTTGGAGAGGCAGTTGAGGTTAAGTGACTTGCACTTAAGTGGTCGCACAGCTAGTAAATGTCTGAGTCTGGATTTGAATTTAGGTCCTCCTGACACCAGGGCTGGTGCTTTGTCCACCATACCACCTAACCTGCCCCAGTGATTTTTTTTTTAAAGCCCTTGCACTTCTAAAATAAAAGAATCACAGTATCATGGGTTGTCAAAATTTGGAGGACGGTAGGGTTTTTTTTTTAAAGTCTCCCATTTTATAGTTAAAGAGTTTTGTTGTTCAGTTGTTTCATTTGTGTCTGACTCTTTATGATCCCATTTGGGGTTTTCTTGGCAAAGATACTGGAGTGGTCTGCTGTTTCTTTCTCCAGCTTATTTTACAGATGAGGAAACTGAGGCAAACAAGGTTACATGACTTGCCCAGGGTCACACAGATAGTAAGTTTTTAAAGTCAAATTTGAACTCAGCTGTTCCTGACTCTATGCCTGGCACTCAAACCACTCTGCCACCTGGATCCAGTTAAGGAAATTGAGGCCTAAACAGGTGAAATGAAGTACCTAAAGACACATAGCTATTAAATGCACAGTAATTATTGTTTTTATTATAATCACTTCTCTTCCTAAGGAGTTCTTTAATAGGTTCCTTATGTGCAATATTCCTCAAGATGAGAGGAAAAAATAATATATTTCTCACCCTTCATAACTACTCAATAAAGGAAGAGTTCAAAGTGTTTCCTAGCTTTTCAAAGTCACAGATAAAGAAATATCACAGAAATGTGTTACTTTAGGCAGTTAGGTGGTTCAGAGCACTGGGCCTGGAGTCAGGAAGACCTGAGTTCAAATGTGATGTCACACACTTACTAGCTGTGTCACTCTGGACAAGTCACTTACATTAATCCACTGGAGAAGGAAATGGCAAACTACTCTGGTATCTTTGCCAAAAACAAACAAGCAGACAAACGAATATATGGGGTAGCAAAGAGTTGGACACGACTGGACAAGAAATGTTACTTTAAAACAAGTATAAAGCAGTGTAGGAATTCCTTACAGTTACATGGTTTTGGTAGCAGATTGGTGGCATAGTGAATAGAGAGGCATACTGGTCTTAGAATTAAGAAGACTTGAGTTCTAATCCTGCCTCAGAAACTCACAAGCTGTCTGATCCCCAGTTAGGTCACTAACCCCTCACCCTCATTTTCCTCACCAATAAAACAGAGAAAAGAACACTAAAAAATAAATTAAAAAAATTAAAAATAAGAATGCCTGTCTTACAGGGTTGTTGGAAAGACCAGAGGAGAGAACATCTGTGAAACGCTTTGTAAATCTCAGCTTGTTCTGTCCTGTGATCTCCAGATCATTGGTTTATAGCTGAAAGGAGCCTCAGAGCCCTTCTTATTTTATGGCTGAGGAAATGGAGGCATAAAAGTTAAATGAGTCATATATAAGTGTTAGCTATTGTTAACTATTGTTACTGGATTTTGCTGGATTTGGGGAGTTGCAGAAGGATGCTTTGTTTTCCTCGGCCTGATAAAAAAAGGTGGGGACCACAAGTTTGGTGGCCTCCCAGGGACCCATACCTCACTTGAACCTCACTTTCTTTCGGGATTTAAGTGACGACCACTGAAATGTGCTTCCGTAATGCCACCACTGATTTTACTCTTTCTATCAGAACAGCCACGCCAGCTAGCCCTTTGATTCTGATGATCACTTTGGGAAACTGAGGCTTCATATGATTTGAGATTATTGAGCTGGAGATTTTTGTTTGTGAAATTCTTGTTTTTCCCACTGTTATGAGTGATTTTAAATATATTCTACTACCAGTTGAGCTAGTATATGACAGAACAGATTGATAATGTTGCATATTGTGCTTTAAGTGTTCAATTCTCAGACATCTTTTTAAATCTCTAGCACATTTATACTTTTCAAATGTGTATTACAGAAACTAAAAACCTAGAAATACTTTGTGTCAGAATATGAACAGGCAGTTTACAGATAAAATTAAAGTTCTTGATAGTCATATGAAAAAATGCTGTAAATCACTGTTGATTAGAGAAATGCAAATTAAAACAACTCTGAAATACCACCTATCAGATTGGCTAATATGACAGAAAAGAAAAATGATAAATGTTGGAGGAGATGTGGGAAAATTGGAATACTAATTCATTGTTGGTGGAGTTATGAATTGATTCAACCATTCTGGAGAGCAATTTGTAACTATGCCCAAAGGGCTTTAAAAATGTTCATACCCTTTGATCCAGCAATACCACTACTAGGTCTGTATCCCAAAGAGAGCATAAAAAAGGGAAAAGGACCCATATGTATAAAAATATTTATAGTACTCTTTTTGTGGTGACAAAGAATTGGAAATTGAGGGGATGCCCATCAGTTGGGGGATGGCTGAACAAGTTGTGGTATGTGAATGTAATGGAATACTATTGTGCTGTAAGAAATGATGAACAGGCAGATTTCAGAAAAACCTGGAAAGACTTATATGAACTGATGCCAAGTGAAGTGAGCAGAAATAGGAGAACCTTGTACATAGCAATAGCAACACTGTGCTTAGCTCTTAGCTAAGCTAAGACTTAGCTCTTCTCAGCAGTACAGTGATTCAAGACAGTTCCAATGATCCAAGACTTATGATGGAAAATGCTAACCACATGCAGAGAAAGAACTGTGGAGTCTGAATGCAGATCGAAGCATACTATTTTAACTTTTTTTGTTTTTTTCCTTTTCTCATGGTTTTTCCCTTTGTTCTGATTCTTCTTTCATACCATGAGTAATGTGGAAATATGTTTAACATGATTGTACATGTATAACGTATATCAGATTGCTTGCTGTCTTGGGGAGAAAAATTTTACAAAACCTGTAATTTTATAAAAATGAATGTTGAAAACTATCTTTACATGTAATTGGGAAAAAAGAAGAAAATACTATTAAGGGGAAAAAAAAGAAGACAATTTGAACTGTTTTTACCTGTAAGCTTCTAATTATTGTAGAACAAAGAAAGGTATTTGTTTATACTCTGTCCCAGCAGTCATTAAGTTTAAGTAGGATGTTTTTGTTCTTTTTCTTTGTAATATTTATAACTTTATTTTACAAATAGATCATGTATACTCATTTAAGTTTGAATATGCTTACCTTTTCCTCCCTATTTCTAGTTTTTCTTCAATATCAGTACCAGTGACCAGGAAGGTCTCTACAGCCTTTATTTCCACAAATGTTTTATTAGTGACATTCGGACCAGTGATGAGTTGTCTTTCAGCCTTGACGTGAGTATTTTACAGAGAATATTGCAGGGTTGATGGCCAAAGGACTTTGTGAACCATGGAAAATACAAGACATTTTTATAATTACCACATCACTATCTGTGTTCAGCTCTGGATTATTCCAACTGGCAAGATGAAAAAGATTGGCATTTAAAGCTTCTTCCTACCTAGAATACTAAAGTAGTAGAGGCTTTATAAATGAAGAAATTGGAAAGTGAGTTAGAATCTGCCTTGTAAGTCTCTGATCCTTAAACTCCTCTTTAAGTATAGCTCTAGATTTCCATATAGGAGGAGATGTCGTAAATTAGTAAATTAAGTAAATTAGGATGTGCATACTGGGTTTGTTTTCAGATTGAGATCACAGAGAAGAATCCTGACAGTTACCTCTCTGCTGGGGAAATTCCTCTCCCAAAGCTCTATGTTTCCATGGCATTTTTCTTCTTCCTTTCTGGGACCATCTGGATTCATATCCTGCGAAAACGGAGGTAAGTCTTGAGCTTCTGGGAAGGCCTTAATTCAGAGCAGCAGCTGACAATTGGCATGTTTACATCTTCCTTGCAAACTTCCTAAATTGAAAAAAACTCAACAGTTTTTCCTCATTCCCTTCCTCTGTTTGAAATAGATTATAGGAATGTATATAATAGAACAATTCTCTGAAGGGCTTTAATTTTTTTTCCCTTCGCATGTGCAGTTTGCTTAATGGTGTTTGTGTATTTCCTACTAATATATTTTAAAAGCAAATTCAAATATTTAGTAAAAGCTGGGCAACACAAATTTCTTCTGAAATAGCAGAGATATTTACATTATAGGACTCAGGGTGATGCCAGCCTTGAAATTCAAGCATCAGTTCAGATCACAGCTGCTGTGGATTCTCTTCATTGATCCAAGGGAAGACTTATTAAATGAATATAGTTCTTCAAAGCTTGTTTACTTGACTCCCTTCCTCAGTTCTGCAGCCCCTGCTGTTAGAACTTCCTTAATGTGTTTCTCACAGGAGTACAGCTGCGTATGTGTAGTAACATTGTTTAATTTTGTCCACATGTCCCTAAATAATCAACTGAAATGAGAATATTGATTTTTAGTCAAGAGTGATGAATATTTCTTGCTTAAAAGGCTATAAACTAGGTGGATTTTGGTATGTAAATGCATTGGACATTTAAGCTTCTTCCTGAAATGATTCTAAGTATGGATGTTTTGGTGTATTACCGATGAAATGGAATCCTCTCTAAAAGCCAGGACTTTGTGGGGCCATTTTTACTGCTCTTATCTGCTTCCCCTTTGTATGTATGTATTTTTGAATAATTTCTTTTCTAATACTCAGTGTAGTGTTTCATTTCTTTATATGTAGTTACAGTCAATCAGTAAACATTTATTAAGCGTCTGCTATGTGACAGGCTCTGTGCTAAGTGCTGGGGGTACAAAAAGAAGCAAAGAACAGTACCTGCCCTCAAGGAGTTTGCAATCTTAAAAGGGGAGACAAATACAAACAAATATATACAAAGCAAGCTATATTCAGGATAAATAGGAGATAATTAACAAAGGGAAAGCATTAGAATTAGGAGGGGTTGGGAAAGGCTTTCTGTAGAAGGTAAGATTTTAGTTGGGACTTAAGAAAGTCAGGGAAGTTAGTAGATGAAGTTGAGGAGAGAGAATATCCCAGGCTCGGGGGATAGCCAGACACAATGCGTGGAGTGAAGAGATGGAGTGTCTTATTTGGGGAACAGCCAGGAGACCAGTGTCACTGGATCAAAGAGTACATGGCAGAGAGTAAGATATAAGAAGACTGGAAAAGTAGGAAGAGCCCAGTTTATGAAGGGCTTTGAATGACAAACAGAGCACTTTGTATTTGATCCTGAAATAGGGAAGCCTCTGGAGTTTATTGAGTTGGGTGTGTGTGTGTGTGTATAGATGACATCATCAGACCTGAACTTTGGGGAAAACACTTTAAAGGCTGAATGGAGGATGGATTGGAGTAGGAAAAGACCTGAGGCAGGCAAACCCCCCAGCAGGCTAGTTCAGGTGTGAGGGCCCATACCAGGGTGATGACAGTGTCAGAGGAGAGAAGGGGGCATATTTGAGAGACGCTGCAAATGTAAAATGGGTGGTTTTGGCAGCAGATTGGATATGGAGGGGGTTTTCCATGAACAAGACACTCCATCTCTCAGCTCTGGGCATTTTGTCTGGCTGTCCCCCATGCCTGGAATGCTTTCCTTTCTCTGCTGACTACTGACTTCTCTGGTTTCCTTTAAGTATCAACTAAAATCTCACCTTCTACAGGAAGCCTTTACTAACACCTGTTAATTCCAGTGCTTTCCCTTTGTTAATCATCTCCTATTCATCCTGAATATAGCTTGCTTTGTGTATTGGATATTTGTTTGTGTATTGTCTCAGCCCTTAGATTGTAAGATCCTTGAGGGCAGGGACTGTCTTTTACAAAAGTCTTTGGTATCTCCAGTGCTTAGCACAGCACTTGCCACATAGTAGACCCTTAATAAATGTTTATTGATTGAGAGATAGTAAGGAGTTAAGCCTGATTACTAGGTTCTGAGCCTGGGGGACTAGAAGGATAGCTTTGCCTTCTGCAGTTATAGGGAAAGAAGGAAGGAAAAGGAGAGAGTTTAGGGGGAAAGATAATGAGTTCAGTTTTGGACATGTTTGATTTCAAATATTTACTGGACATCCAGTTTGAGATGTCTGAAAGGCAGTTGGAGATGCAAGATTGGAGGTCAGCAGAGAGATTTTAAGATAGTCGTTTTTGTTTCACTTGGGTCACTTCAGATGACTTATGACTATAAAATAGTTAAATGTCTTTTTATTTCATATTTAGTAACCATCAAAAAATCCTTTCTTACACACACACACACAAAAAAAGAGTATTATAAATGAAACTGTTCACATCTCTTGTTTATAATTGTTAGTGTATGTTAATTTTAGGAAAATAACAGAAACTTCCTGTTTGCTTTTGTGCCCCTTTCTGAACTATCTTAATTTTTAAAAAATTATTGTGGCTGCTATTATTACTCCTCTGCCAAAGTCCCATACCAGTGCTTCATCATGGTGTGGAGGTGACCCTTGGCTTTCCAAGTGGATGGCAGATGGGCAGAAGAGCATAGGCTCTGGCAAAGGTGATCAAATTAGAAATGCTTCAAGTACGGACATAGTGATGGGCTCCGTTCCACTTTTCCTTTTTTTTTTTTTAAAGGGCTATACCTGTGATTCCACTGGTGTAGGGATCTCCTAGTAAAGAAATCCATTCTGCCAATGCCAGTCAGCAACTGCTCAGCAACTTAAAGTCAGAGAGCTTTTTAGGGAGCTGGGGGTTCAGTGACTTATCCAAAGTCAGACAGGCAGTGTGTGTCAGAGCCAGCACTTGAATCTAGGTATTTCTGCCACTGAACCTAGATTTCTGTTCATTATGCTGTGGGGAAGCTAGGTGGTGCAGTGGATAGAGTGCCAGGCCTAGAATCAAGAAGATCCAACCTCAGACACTAGCTGTGTGACCCTGGGCAAGTCACTTAACCCTGTTTACCTCAGTTTCTTCATCTGTAAAATGACCTGGAGAAGGAAATGGCAAACCACTCCAGTTGTCTCTGCCAAGAAAATCCCAAATGGGGTCACGAAGAGACTGGACATGACAGAAAAACAACTGAACTGATGCTATAGGGCCTTGGTTTCCCTATATCTTTATAGTTTTGATCTCAGTCATTTCTTATGGTGCAATAACTCCCATCATTTTCATCTACTATTCTTTATTCAACTTTTCCCTTGTCATGGGATATAAGGGTTGTTTCTAGATTTTTTATTATTACAAATAATATTGCTATGAATATTTTAATTTAGAAAGGCCTTTTTTTCTCCTTGAAAAATCTCCTTAGGGTAGTCTTGCTATTGGGATCACTGGGTTAGAGGGTAAGAATATTTTTCTAGCTTCCTACTATATGTAGTCATGTTGTTTTCCAAAAGGTTGTATCAATTAATAGTTCCACTGGCAGTATTAATAATGTGCCTATTTTTTCCATAGCCATATTGGCATTGACTTTTATCATTTTGAACTATCTTTGCCAATTTAATGAATATGAGATAGTATCTCAGAATGTTTTAAATTTGCATTTCTTTTATTATTAGAGAATTTAAGTAGTTTTTCAGGTGATTATTAAATGTTTTCTCAGTGGCCCAGGCAACTTTAAGATTATAAGTTGCGGAACAGTTGCCAGTAGGGCATCGAAGGGGGTCTTGATATTGGGAGTTCTGAAAGTGTACAGAAAGTCAAAGGTCTGGACCCACCTTCTACCCTCGCCCTCATGTGTTCTCTCAAGAGCTGCTTGTTCAAATCTTTTCACAGCTTACCTACCTATTAGGGAAATGGATCTTACTATTAGAAATGTGTCAGTTCTTTGTAGATTGAAATGTCAGTTTTGTATCAAATACTTAAAACAAAGATTCTCCCCTTCCCACAGCTGTATCTTTCCTTTTTATTCTGCATGCAATTTTTTTTGTCATGCTAACTCTTTTTATATGACTAAAATTGGGGCAGTTAGGTGGCGCAGTGGATAGAGCATCGGTCCTAAAGTCGAGAGGACCTGGGTTCAAATCCGGCCTCAGACCAAACACTTGACACTTACTAGCTGTGTGACCCTGGGCAAGTCACTTAACCCCAATTGCCTAAAAAAAAAAAATTATATGACTAAAATTGATCTTTATAAAAACATTTCCTTTTATGTCAGTCTTCTCTTGTGGTTGGCCTTGGGGCTAAAGGGATAAAGTGTAATCTTACTTATGTGATGATTGAGTTTGGTGTACAGGGGTTATCATTGCTTTAAGATTCTTCTTTTTGCCAGCATGACTCAATCCGTTTACCTCAACAAACATTTATGGAGTAGTATATATGTGTGAGGTACTTTTATAGGTGTCTAAGGGAATATAAATATAAGTAAGATTATGATCTGGGGAAGGCTAGAGATCAAGGTAATACAGAATACAATGCCAGTGCGCTTAAGACTAGTACAAATCAAGTGCTATGAGAGTTTAAGAAAGAAAAGGAATCACTTTTTGATATTATCCTATTTTATATCTTGAATGATGGGAGAGGGCTGGAAGGTAGGAAAAGAGAAAGTGCCACTCACTGCCTAGTAGTCTGACAAACTGTCAGAAAAGTTCACTGAAAAAGAATGATACAAACCAGTGCAACTGTTAGGGCCTTGAATTGCCTTGAATATCTTGCTGTTAGTTGAATGTCTTCGCATAAATCTTAATGCCATCTAGTGGTGTGCCATTGAGATTGGTCTGTTCTTATTTGCATCCTTTAATGAACTTTCAAGTATACACTAAAATAGGAAATTAACCCAAATATCCAGGAAAGTAAATATTCTAGGTTGTGCCTGCAGCTTAATTATAGGACAGATTCTTGTTTACAGCATTTGTTTCCACATTGCTGACCATTGTAGTCACAATGTAGACAATGCTCAGCAATTTTTAAGAATTCAGTACAGAAGCCAACTCCACTGGTAGTAGTGGCTCAATTTTTTTTTAGATTTCATTGACTGTATTTCTAACAAATTAATCTGATGTTTATAACCTTTTGCAGTTCCTTATGAGACAGTGAGGTACTTACTCAATTTTCCCCCCTGTTTTTATAGGAATGATGTTTTTAAGATTCACTGGTTGATGGCAGCCCTCCCCTTCACAAAATCTTTGTCCTTGGTGTTCCACGCAGTATGTATAACACATTTTTATGTACATTTTACAATGGCGTCCTTTTTTTGTAAGTGAATAAAAAGAGTGGATGAGTAAATTACCCTGAAGGAAGAGGGGTGAAGTGGGCAACAAATATTAATAGAATCCCTTTTTAATGAAGATCTTCATACTTCTAATGCCCATGGCTTGTCTAGATAATAAAACCTCTTTGCATACCTGTAGCACAGCATCTCTCCTAAATGCCTCCTGAAACATTGATTTTTGCCATTTCCTGAGATGAGAGTGCCATCTACTGAATTATTTCCACCATTTACTGTAATTCCTGCATTTTTCTTGTTCTGGCATGCGATTAATGATAGGACAGAGCTATTTAGTTTGCATTTTAACATGCTTGCTGTTCTTTATATGTAAATGAATGTTTTAAAAGTTGAGCCATCAAAATTAAGCCAGTGCTTTATTCATACAGGATGTTTCCAAATCAAAATTAGACTTTGAGTTGAATTTTTAATGACTCAAACCTGTAGTAACCTGGAAAAAAAGAGAACTGTTGGCTAATCTACAAATATTCCTTAAGGGCCTTCTGTGTGCCCACAGACCAGTATAATGTCTGTACTTCTTCAAAGTTCAGAGCTACTGCTGTGTAGATACATTTTGTGATGGGAATTGTAACTTATCTATTTAAGACCTCAGAGGAAATGAAAACTTTTAATATTTTAGTTATCCTTTTAGGACCTTCATAAGAGAGTTCTTTTTCTGCTGATCAGGATAACATATCATAAGGATATGACTTGCAGGTTGTGGAAAAGATGATTTTCTTTCTTTTTTTTCAAAATAATTCATGCCATAGCTTATGATTCTGTTTTATTAGGGAAGATAAACTTGTAAATAAATGTTAGTCACTTTCAAAGTGTGCTAATCTAGATGTAGGCCAGTTGATTCATAGGATGTGTTTACATTTCTTTAGTGAGGGCTTGTGAGGAGGTTTAATGGGAGATAGTCTCTGAAGATCTTTAAAAAAGGGCAGCTGTCTCTTTTGAGTAATTCACATTTGTCCGCCTGAAGGACTAGGTGGCCTTTTTTGATCCCTTCAACTTGTGTGAGTCTTTAGGTATGTGAAACTGTACCCTTGTATATGATTTATGAAACTGGCCTGACATTTTGCCAGTGTAATCACATACTGAATGTGACCAATGAAGTGACATTGTATTGAAAGGGTAGAATAGTATATTACAGTAGTTAAATTATCTACATGTTATTTTAAGTGGAATTATGTGTATGATGGGATGAGATTCTAAGAGAAAATTTGGCTTGCGTTGAAGTGTTTTGAAATGACTGTGTGCTCTGTGATTTTAGATTGATTACCACTACATCTCCTCTCAGGGATTTCCAATAGAAGGTTGGGCTGTTGTTTACTACATCACACATCTGTAAGTATCCAAGATAGTCTATTAAATACTGCTGCTATGAAATGCCATGTAAGATTCTGCCATGAGCATGATTAGCCATTAATGTGGCATTTATCCTTACCCTCTCCCTTAGTGAAGGAAAGCTGTCAGTATAGTCAGCAAATAGTTACACAGGTTTGGGAGCTCTTAGGACAGGTGGTAAACTCATGGAAGAGTGCCAGATCCTGGTGCTGCTATTTTGGGGCTGCTGGATAAAATGAGAAAGTGCATAATAATTAGAAGGATAAAGTATCAGTGAGAGTCCACCACTATGTAGTTAACTCTCTTTCTGCAAAAAAAAATGTGAAATAATGAAATGCACTTTGAAATATTACTGGATATTAGTTAGTTGCAGGATAGTTGCAGGTGAGACTTGTTGGTGTCTTTAAAATCTTCAAAATTTCTTTTTCAGATTGAAAGGTGCACTGTTGTTCATCACTATTGCACTCATTGGTACTGGCTGGGCTTTCATCAAACACATCCTTTCTGATAAAGACAAAAAGATCTTTATGATTGTCATCCCACTGCAGGTGAGGCAATGCTGTACCTCAGCACTGATATCCCTCGAGGTGTTGGTTTACCAACCTCTAACTTAGAAGTACAAATTTTACTTATTGATTCCAGTTTTGATTTGGACAAGAAAGTAAGGGAAAATACTTTTTCACTACTTTAGACTTTTAAACCAACTTCTAATACTGTTTCTGAAAATGGCTGAGCCTAGACATATATGTGCACAGAAGCTGTATGTGTGCAGTATGGTATTCTAGGAAGAGTATTTGGCACATCAATACCTACAAGCTTGGAAATCGGTTTGATTCTTCTACTGAGAATGTTAGTTGCAGGATAAAGTGAAATTATGGCTTTAACAGATGATTGTTTTTCATTTCTTAATTTATATAATAAAACAGTAGATATGTAAGTTTAAGGTTCCTGAGACCTTAGTGAAGGGACTTTTGAAAGAAAAAGGTAGGAAAGAAACTGAGAGTTAGGAAAAAACTGCATTTCAAAGTAATTTGTATTTGTGGGAAATGAAACAAATTTTTACTTGAATCATAGAAATAATCATCTCTAATCCATTTAAAAGAAGAACTACACTTAAGATGTTTAAAATAACACATTTAAGGGGCAGCTAGGTGGCACAGTGGATAGAGCACCAGCACTGAAGTCAGGAGGACCTGGGTTCAAATCTGGCCTCAGACCAAACACTTGACACTTAATAGCTGTGTGACCCTGGGCAAGTCACTTAACCCCAATAGCCTTTAAAAAAAAAAAAGCACGTTTACTTTTTTTACATTTGTAAACAATGCTTTTTAAAAAAACATTAAAAAGATTTTTTAAAAAAAATTTACATTTTATTTACATTTGTAATTTGGGGATGTCAGGGAAAAGTCAAGGAAGATATTCTGAGACTGTGAATTTTTCATGGTACTAAACATATATAACCACTGTATCTTGGGTAATCTGAATATTTAAATTGTAAATTTCTTCGGAGCATAAGCCACTTCATGATCTTTTGCTGCTATCTTTAATCTCCCAATTGAAATATTATTCATAGGAAGTGAAACTACTGATGACAAACCAAAACATAAAGTCATAAACTCAAGAATAGAATGCTTAGACAAAAATTAATCAAATGAAAAGTGCCAGTATATTTCCAGAGTAGCTGGACCGATATCATCTGTAAGCTCTTCTTGTCATACTCTTGCCATCTTTTTGCTCTCATGGAAACCTGACTCCAGAAAACACTGCATTTCTGGCTACCCTCTCCCATGCTGGTTGTTCCCTTTTCTCATGTCCCCTAACAAGGTGGACCAGGAAAAATAGCTGGCATACTCCTGTGTCACTCCCATATTATCCCTTTGACATTATAATTCAGCAACAGCTCCTTTGAGGTTCACTGCATCCATCTATATATCATCTAGTCTAGAGCCTTCTTGCCATAATCATATCAACTCCAGATCACTCTCTGTCCTTTCTGAAGGAGTGCCAGTACCTAGCTTAGAGTCTTCCTCTCCATCCTGAGTGCTGCCTTCCTACATGGGAGCTTTAACATACACATTTATGTCGTCTCAAATATCCTGACCTCTCAGTTCATAAGAATCCTCCATTACCATCATTTGCAGCTTCAGCTGATTTCCCCCCTCCACACACACACACACACACACACACACACACACACACACACACACA